GGGATCGAACCGTGGTCCCTGTGCTTTGCCAAGTTTGTTCCAAGTAGGTGCTTTAGACCACTGAGCCATCTCTCCAGCCCCGATAGAATCATTTTATCCAGTGCTCAGACTGTGTGCCCAGTGGAAACACACAGCACTGTACAGGACTTGTTCCCACCAGGACAGCCCAACCCATGTGTGGGATCACAGCTTCTCAGCATTTTCTCTTCAGTTCATTCCATTTTTCCTTCCTTCCTTCCTTTTTTTTTTTTTTTTTTTTTTTGGCAGAACTGGGGATTGAACTCAGGCCCTTGCGCCAGGCCCTTGCGCTTGCCAAGCAAGCTCTTATTCTACGGAGCCATCTCCCCAGCCCCCCTGGGTTCATTTCAAAACAGTTTATAATGTCTTTGTAGGAGGGACAGTTTTTCCATTTCTACTGAAAATTTATTGTCATTTGCCTACATCGCTCATGTCTTATTTATACTGAATGTCTTATAACAAATTATAGCAGTATCAGAGTTACTTTTGAATTTACATTCCAGTTGTGCTCTAAATTTTCCCTTCCTCCTCCTTCCAACTTCCAACACACACACACCAACATACAATCAGTCTCTCTCGGCAATAAAAGCATGTGTCCGACGTACCTCTTCCTTTTGAAAGGTGACTTGGGCACATCAGCCACAGGGATCATCTGCTCTCCCGGACGCACCCACATGATGGGGCCATCGTCACTGTCTCTGCGACTTTCTAGCTGAAGGCTGGACAGGGTCCCCCAGGGCAGTGTGCACTGGAGAGAGAGCAACATGGTCACCCATGATTCCAAATAGACACAAGAGGACTGCTTCCCTCACTCACTCATCACATAGCTTACAAAGGTGAAATACTCACTACGTGAATTCCTTCCCCTACATTCACATCCACCTTTGAAAAGCTCTACTTAAACACACCAGAGAACAATTCCTCTTAGATGATTTTCCCGCTGTGCCGGAAGTACAACACACTGAATTTACCCCTTATTATTCTTCTTTCTTCCCAACCTCCAGGGCATGTGACTGTAATAAACTAACAAAATAAATGCTCCCAATAATAATCTATAAAAACTGATCCTTCGGTTCATGAGCATGATGATTGGTTATTCATGCCTTATGCAAGAGATGTGCCTCCCTCAAATCTTGTTACGATGTGGGCACATTACCCGTCTAACATAAAAAATAATAATAATAATAATCTATAAAAACTGATCCTTCGGTTCATGAGCATGATGATTGGTTATTCATGCCTTATGCAAGAGATGTGCCTCCCTCAAATCTTGTTACGATGTGGGCACATTACCCGTCTAACATAAAAAATAATAATAATAATAATCTATAAAAACTAACAACAAAAGATTTTTGTTGTTTTGGTTTTTTGAGACAGGTCTCACTATGCAGTTCAGACTCACCCTGAACTCATAGCTCTCTTCATGCCTTAGCCTCCCAATTGTTGCAGCTACAGGTGTACAATTATGCCTGGCCCACAAATGAAATTTCAACTTGTTTTTCTTCCTTTCTGAGACAGTCTCACTATAGTCCAGGCTGGCCTCCAACTTGTGGCAATCCTCAGCCTCCTCAGCACTGGGATCAGTGTGCACCACCATTCTCAGCCTGAGTACTGAGTTTTAAAAATGGATAGAGGTGTGGTGGCACATGCCTATAATCCAAGCACTGGGGAAGCTAAAATCAGAAGATCCTAAGTTTGAGGCTATCCTGGTACACAGAAAAATCAAGGTTAACCTGAACCTCATAGTGAAAGCCCGTCTCAAAAATAAATAGCCAAATAAATAAAAGCCAGAGAGCTCTTTGGTTAGTAATCAAATACTAACAAAACAAAAAGGGAAATCAAATGAAATTAAAATCTGCTTCTGTTTAATTCTGTCTTGAAAAGGTTGTTGGCATAAGCCAGACATTAAAGTGTTTTATTAAGGGAAAAGAAAATGGGTAGGAGGTAGGAAAGAAAGCAAGAGGAGAAGAGACAAGAAATGTATTTCTGAAGGCCACTGCCCATGAAATGAAGAGAATGATATTTAAAAAAAAAAAATTATATCCCCTTCTAAAAGAGGGAAGGACTGTTAAATTTCTTTTAAAATGTACTTAGCTCAAATGTTTTGAAAATCAAATTTGAAGCAACTATTTAAATAATATTTGGAAATATTTTAAAAATATTATTCAATAGGCCACATGTGATGGCATGTGCCTGTAATCCCAGCACCCAGGAGACTGAGGCAGGTGGATCCCTGCAAGTTCAACCCAGTCTGGGGTATTCAGTGAGATCCTGCCTTGAGGAAAATAAATAAATAAGAATCCCTTGAAGTAACCAGTTGGATGAAAGAGAAAAGGAGTAAAAAGTTAAAAGGATTAATGGGGGAAAGAAAGCAATAGAATAGCAATAAAGAAAAAGCTAAGATATACAAACATGTAGGATGGAAAATCAGATTATGTGGTGAACACTGCAGAGAATCTGATCTTCTCCCATTCTGCAGTTGCACAGGCCCTGCTTGCAAGGCATGCGCACACTGCCCAAGCACTACCCCACCTCTCAGCCTGACATGGCGCTCAAACAGTCACAAACTGTTCTTGGATACAGAAGGTGTTTTAGAAAGGATCGACCTAGGGCTGGGGAGATAGGCCTAGATGCCTGCCTGGCAAGCACAAGGACCCGGGTTTGATCCCCCGTACCACATGTCAGCCTGGCCCTGGAACCCCAGGTGTGCCATGCTGGCCCTGAAACTGGATGTGATAGCACATGCCTGTAATGCTAGCACTGGGGAGGCTGAGAGAGGAAGATCACTGAGTCTGAGCTGCACAGCAGAGACCCTGTATCAAATAAGTAAACAATTTTTTTTTAAAGGATCAACCTAGAAATTCTTGAAGGAATTTAATGGGGCACTGTGCTATGTGGCCTAAATCTTATTTTACAGAAGAAGAAATGGAAGCCTTGACAGTTGCAGTGGTCTGCTCAGCCCACACAGGCACAAGCCAGGCTAACGCACAGGTGGAGTTTCCCATGCATTTTAGTTTGGCAGGCATTTGGCCTGGACTCAAGTTCTCTGGCATTCAGTCCAGAAAGAGCTGATGAGCAGATGGAGCCATCGTTCCCAAAGAGGCAGTGACCGGAGACTGTGACCCCCTGCCTCACCACCTCACTGCGTAAGGGCCGAAGTCAGGCGGACTACTTCCTGTCAATCTAAATGAGACAGCCTGCCTGCAACTCTGAAGGAGCCATTCATTTGTATCCCCAGCAGCATGAACCAACAGCCGTAGTTTAGAAGGCTGAGACCGTCTCTTCTTACTTTTAAAAACGGTGACTCCTCCAACATGTCAAGGAACTCAGGGAAGTAATCGCCCACTTCTTCATCAACTGCTCCCACCAAGCTTATCTGTCGCATCGGGCCAGCTCTGTAAGTGCCGTGGGAATACGTCCTCTTTACCTGAAGAACATGGATTTAATCAACACTTCCTCGTAAGATAATGCTCGCTACTGCTGTGCAGCGGTAAGTTACACTGTCTCTGGAGAGCACACACGAGGTGAAGCAAGGCCTTCGCTGATAACAGGGCATTAAAAAATAAAAACTTTGTGCTAAATCAAGTTATTTTCCTTCAGTTTTTCATATTGCTTATGAAAACACAGCTCAGGTAAACAACATAATTCTAGACAATAACATTTCTTTATAATACAGTTTATTGTATGACCTCTAATGGCACTGAAATTCAATTCAAAAGTTGATATGCCTGCCTTTTTCTAAAGTACTGGTTCATACTTTCTTATAAGAAGCTTTCACTTACCCTCTGGAAGAGCTGCAGTACCCTCTCTACTGGTTTTATGCTTAAAGAGCCAGTAGGGATGTTCTTCCTTCCTAAGTCTAGTTAGGTGATAAATAGTTAAGCTATTAACTCTGATGAAAAACTGCTCAGTCTCACATCAGCTTTGCTGTCTACCAGCTATGTGACCTTCAGAAAGCATCTAAATCCCCTTCCTTTCCTTAGCTGGGTGTTCTATCTCAAACTGCTAACGGAAACATGATTCTATAAAGCCGTAAGCGATAGTGGTACCATGGAGGTGAAGTTCACAGAGCTAAAATACAGCAGCCTAAACCTCAGGATTTTAAAAAGTACACTTAAAAACCTGACAAACCTATGTGTTTCATATACTAACTAGTAAATAAGTTGAGACTTCATTTTTTTTTCTTTTGCTGGAACCAGGGATTGAACTCAGGCCCTTGCACTTTCCAGGCAAGCACTTATTCTACTAAGCCATCTCCCTGGCCCCAAGACTTCATTTTAAGCAAAATTTCTTTTCATAAACAAAGTATAAGCGAACTCTTTTTCTGTGAATTACTCTTTGTACCCACAAAATTCAGAAGATCAACCCACCCCAGTGCGCCCAAGATTAACTCTGAAAACTGAAAGCCTTGTGTCTGAGGGAACATGGACAGCAGCCAAGCTTTATCCACTCCCCAGAGACATTCTCCAGTCCTCTCTCATGGCCCGTGCAGCATTGACACAGAACACACAACAGAGTGGCTAAGCCCAACATGACATGAAAATCCTACCAGGATAATTTCATTAACACAGAGAATCTTCTCTATCATAACTGACAAAGCAGTAGGACACATTCATTCCAAGTTAACAAGTTTATCAAAGTTACAAACTTGGCTTTTCATAGGCTATCAAAGGATCACTTCTCAGAGCCCAAATCACTCCCCCCAAGTCCCCTACTGCAAATACTGGTACCCACACCCCAGCCTACTACTTCTGGTCTCCCCTTGTTCCTGTCTCTTCCAAGGGATTCATCTCCAGCACTGCTGAGCTTCAAGTTCAGGAACTGACTCTACACCCTCAGGTTCTAGTGTCTAGATGCAGGGACAGCATCCCATGGAGAAAGCAGTCATCCACACTGAATGTCAATCTGCCTCCAGTGAACTGAGAGAAGACAGCACATCAAGTGTGCCTTGGATCTACCTGTGACCACGCAAGTTTTGAGAATGTGAAGGATGAAGTCTGGGCTTGGGAGGAGAGCTCAGTACCAAAGTATTCGCCTACTATGCAAGAAGCCCTAGGTTTGAGCCCCAGTACCAAAAAAATTTTAGGACGTAAAATCAAACAAGTTATAGCATAAAGCACAAATTTCCAAGTGTTTTGAAATATAACAGTTGGCTTTTAAACAGCAGTTTAGGAAGGTAAATACAATTAGGTCACTTTCCTATGCATCAACTTGCTCATCTAAGTAAGCTAAATATCTCATAAAACCACTACTAGGTTCTAACAAAGCAAGAATGAAACTCTTACTGCCTAGGTGGTTCATTCTCTATCACAGGATCAACAATGATTACAATTAAACCCAGCACTGGGGGAGGCTGAGGCAGGAGGACTGCTAAGAGTTCATGGCCAGCCTGAACTACATAGTGAGATCCCATCTCAAAAAATAAAGTAGGGCCGGCCAAAGAGCTCAGCAGATTAAAGTGCCTGCAAGCAGGCCCAGGGGCGAGGGATTCGATCCCCAGGCCTGCCATGCCAGGGCCAGCCCCACCCCAGAACACGTTGAAATGGCAATTGAGACTGGTGGCACATACCTGTAATCCCAGCACTTGGGAGGCTGTGAACAGGTGGATCACTACAAGTCTGATCTAGTAGTGAGACCCTGAACACCCTGTAGACCCTTTCCTAAAAAATACAAAAAAAAAAAAAAAAAGTATATATCTAAGTATGGAAAAAAACAACCTAATGGTCTATTAAGTACTGTGGATCATTTATCCTGAGGAGGAAAGGTGGCCTTTACAAGAGGAATTTTCAGTGAGTGAATTCTTCTGAAATACTAAATAAACATGGCTCAATTTTATGAGCTCTCCCAAGGAAACAGATACACTAAACATACTTTTAAAGTAAGCCAAATGCATTGCTGCTCACTAGACTTCTTTAAGAGAATACACACAAGGATTAAACACACGCCTACAAAAGTCATACCAACAAAGAATGCTCTTTTAATGTGAAGGCCCACGGACCCAGGGGCCCAGACAACCATCTGAGGAAACCTTAAGTCTCAAATTAGACTACCATCATTGTACCTAGTATGTAAAATGAGGCCCCACTAACCACAAAATTACTCCTTAAATACTTGCAACATGTGCATTCTACCCTAGTTATTATCATACAATTCAGATAACTACTTCCAGTCTGAAAAAAGATGCCATTACAAAACTAAAAAAAGTAGGAGACAAATACAGTTAGTAGTCAGAAAACCAAGGCTAATTAATAACAAAGTTAATCTTCAGCCCTGCAGAGTAAAATTCTCCAGTGTAAAAATGAGTAATAACATGTATCACTGAACACAGCTTCTTGGGCAGCAGGGGTACAAATGATATTGTTGGCCACAACCCACATACTTCACTTTCACTGAGGAGATATTGTGATTCAGGTTAGAATGTTTCACTGAGTAAATGTATATCACTGACCTAGCCATCTCATTCCACTCAGATTATACATTTGCACTACTTTACTTTCAGATTTATAAATGTTCTTTTTTAAAAAAAAAAAAACAAAAACAAAAACCATGAAATGCATGTCTAGGGTAAGCCTAATAGCTCAGTGGACTAAAGTGCCTGCTTAGGCAAAGCACAGAGACCAGGGTTCGACCCCCTGCATGCCATGCCGGTCCCACCCCCAGGGCGCACTGAGAAGACAATTGAGACTGGGTGGGGTGGCGCGGGCCTGTAATCCCAGCACTTGGGGGGCTGAAAACAGGCGGATCACTACGAGTCCGATCTACATAGTGAGACCCTGCAGATTCTGTAGACTCTGTCCTAAATACAGAAAGGGGGAAAAAAGAAAGAAAAGAAAAAGAAACGCATATCTAAATGAGCACAGGCTGGACATCTGGCCAAATAAATTAAGTTTTTCTCCTATCCTGCATCCCAAGTACCTTTGGGACCACTTTAAGAAGACACTACCTTTTGCAGATTTTTTTTTAAAGTGTGATCCCCTTAAAATTCATAATTATTTCAAAAGATTTGGGGAAAACTAAATTTTATAAGTAATACATCCTCTACATGCATTATATTCTTAAATATCCTAAACAAATCTAAATGATTACTTCTCCCTATTTCAAGGCAAAATAGAAGCAAACACATAGATTATATATACAACTCACAAACATATAGGCCTCTCTTCCTTTCAACCCAAATGTGCTAAAACTATAAAGTAGATCTTATTTACCCACTATAAAAATCAAAGGTAAATTTTATTAGGAAATATGGTAAGTTCTCCTAGGGAATTCCATGAGGAAAATCTGTACATGCTTAGCTATGATGTTAAATACAAAATAGTGAATTTCTCCCAAGACATTTAATTGCCAAGTATTAAAGATAATATTACAATAAGTAAATGAAATACATTTCAAATTAAAATTCAGTTTAAAAATAAAAGCGAATACATCAAAAATGTTAACCTGCAAAGTAATTTGAATTTTAAAATGTTATAACATATTTTAAAATATCTATCATTTCACAAAATCAATAGGGACCATTCAATTAATGTTTTAAATACGGAAAATTACACATAACAGTGTAGTCACATTCAAAAAGTTTTGTTTTATTTTGGTTTGGTTTTGGAGACAGGGTCTCATTATGTAGTTCAGACTGGCCTTGACCTTACTGTCTAGCTCCCAACGATCCTCCTGCCACAGCCTCCTAAGTGCTGGGATTACAGCTGTGCACTATCACACCCAGCCACATTCAAGAAGTATGTACCTCTTTATTAAATATATAGCTGGTGTCTAAGCTGTTAAAATAGAACCAAAGATAAAAACCCAGGCTTTCATAAATAAGTAAAAGATTAAAAGGGGGGCTGGAGAGAGAGCTCAGCAGTCTAAGCACCTGCCAGGCAAGCACAAAGACCTGAGTTTAATCCCCAGTACCACATGCCCTACCAGCCCTGGAACCCCAGGAATATCATACCAGCCACCAAAACTGGGCATAGTGGTGCACCCCTAAAATTCCAGTGCTGGGGAGGCTGAGACTGGAGGATCACTACGAGGCTGAGCTGCATAGCAATACCCTGTACCAAATAAAAAATAAATAAATAGACAAAAGATTTTTTTTTTAAAAGACAGGCATTTTTCACAGAAACAGAAATGCTTCCCAATTTTGGTAACCACTGTTCTATTGCAACATTATACAGGAAATATGCACAGTTTGCTATTATATAGAATAGAATTACTCCACAATACCCTATGCAGACAAAGCCTCAACTCCGTCCAGCGCTCATGACTAGGAAGAACTCAAAGGCAGAGGGGGGCAGGAGGGTAAAGTCAGGATGTAAACAGAGTACAGGCGAATACTACCAATGCCACAGACTGGCTTACCGTTTGTCCCTGCACTAGGCACAGCTCTCCAGTCAGATGGGACAAATACACATCTGCCATGAGAGGAGAGGC